TAATTTAGACAATTTGAAATCTACACTACCCCAGGATGCTTCCACATAAGTTTCAGCTTTTCAAAGATTGTCCAATATATTTCTATGTAAAACTTTGATTCCCCATTGTGGCCCCGCCCTACCCCCCCCCCCCCCCGGGTCATGATTTGAACAATTTAGAATCTACGCTACCTCAGGATGCCTCCACATAAGCTTCAGCTTTTCTGGCCCAGTGGTTCTTGAGAAGAAGATTTCTAAAGATTTTTCCTATATATTTCTATGTAAAACTTGGATTCCCCATTGTGGTCCCGCCCAACCCCCGGGGGTCATGATTTCAACAATTTAGAATCTAAACGACCCAAGGATGCTTCCACATAAGTTCCAGCTTTTCTGGCCCAGTGGTTCTTGAGAAGAAGATTTTTAAAGATTTTTCCTATATATTTCTATGTAAAACTTGGATTCCCCATTGTGGTCCCGCCCAACCCCCTGGGGTCATGATTTGTACAATTTAAAATCTACACTACCCCAGGATGCTTCCACATAAGCTTCAGCTTTTCTGGCCCAGTGGTTCTTGAGAAGAAGATTTTTAAAGATTTTTCCTATATATTTCTATGTAAAACTTGGATTCCCCATTGTGGCCCCGCCCTACCCCCAGGGGTCATGATTTCAACAATTTAGAATCAACACTACCCCTGGATGCGTCCACATAAGTTTCAGCTTTTCTGCCCCAGTGGTTCTTGAGAAGAAGATTTTTAAAGTTTTTTCCTATATATATATATGTAAAACTTTGAATCCCCATTGTGGCCCCGCCCAATCCCCGGGGGTCATGGTTTTAACAATTTAATATCTACACTACCCAAGGATGCTTCCACATAAGTTTCAGCTTTCCTGGCCCAGTGGTTCTTGAGAAGATTTTTTAATAAACCCACCCTATTTTCGTCTTTTCTTGATTATCTCCCCTTGTTAAGGGATTTGGCCTTTCATTTTAACAATTTAAATTCCCCTTCACCCAAGGATGCTTTGTACCAAGTTTGGTCAAAATTGGCCCAGTGGTTCTTGAGAAGAAGTCGAAAATGTGAAAAGTTTACCTACGGACAGACGGACCGATGGACGGACGACGGACACGATGTGATCAGAAAAGCTCACTTGAGCCTTCGGCTCAGGTGAGCTAAAAACATTCCTTAAATATTTACATTAGCTGTGTTTTTCTACTAACCCAAGAGTGAAATTGAATTGATACCATTTTCGTGTATACTCACACGTAGAAATATACAGAGAAACGTGCGTTAATGTGACGTCACAATGAAACTGCAGCAACGTTAGTAAAAATGCAATGATATAGGGCAGCAAGAAATCCAAATAATAAGTATATTTTTGATGCTTCCAAACATGTAAAATGTAAATATAAGGAATGTTTTTAAGTTTAGTGTTAATTATTGGTGTGAAAATCACACAGACTTGCACGTAACGCGCTTCATGAAATATGCCTACGTGACAAGTTTGTGTGATTCACACACCAATAATTCACACTAAACTTAAAAACGTTCCTTAATTGAACACAGACTCTACCTTGACTTTCTGAAGCTTGTTAAGTTGTTCCTCAGACAGAGATTCTTTAGACCAGCACAGAGCAGAATAAGTCTTTGTTTTCTCTATTTCACCTTCCTTCAGTTTATCTACATCTTTTCTTTTAATGAAAAGTAAAAATAAATACAGAATTTCTTCTAACATTTTATCACCAAGGTACATTATAACTCTGTTTTTCATATCTCAAATACATGTACTCTAATTTGATGCCTCAATGAAAACGATTTTCAAGAAATACAATATTTTAATGCAGGTATTTTTTACCATACACTGCAAAAAATTGCATTTGATTTATCATAACAATTTTCAAAAGAAGTAATTATTTATGTTCCTCATATCAAAGGGTCAATTAACCTTTAGACTGAATATTTCATTCACATCGTAAAATTCTTACTTGTCAACAATTTGTAAATCCCTGACTTTATTATCAGCTGACTTGTTGATTTCCTGAAAAAAAAAGCACTACAAAATTATACATCAGCTTTAACGAGACCCAATCTACTTGATCTACTTGATGTGCGCATAAGTTTTCATACAGCATCTTTTCAGGCACGTCACAGTACACTTGACTGCCGTCACAATTGAATATAAAAAAAGTCACAGTTAATATGACGTCATACTGTGCTAAAATGTTTCGCTAATTTTGATACCTGGTAGCTCTATAGACTGTGCAAGTTAATTCTTGCATTTCTATTACTTACATGCTTTAAAAAATAAATTCTGTGATTTATAAACATCTTTGGAGTATAATTTAATTTGAGGTATCAATTTCTAAGTACGTATAGTTTCATTAATTTTATCTTGTTTTATTTAAATAAGTGAGTTAAAAAAAACAACACTGCAACCAAAAGTAAACGATTTTAGTCTTTCTCCTTGAACATGTTGAAGTGTTTACTGACCCTTTTTGTTTTGTTAAAATTTTGTGCATGGATTAGCTTGACTTTAAAAAAAAAATAAACAACTCTATGAATCATTTAAATGCCACCCCCAAAATATTTTATTTTTCTATAAATTACTGTACATGTACATGATATTAGTAAAATTTGTAATTTTGTTGCCTTTTACCCCCCCCCCCCCCTTTCCAAGTAAAACAGTGTATTCAGAAAAATAAAGGATGAAGAAAAAGCTATTTCATAATGTAAGAATTATAGAATTTTTAGAAACTAATACAGAATTACAAGCATTTGTTGATGTTCTATAAACCCATGTATGAAATATATAGTGTGATAAAATAGGTCCTATTTTGTGTTTTGATATGCACCCTTTTCACTACAATAAAGGGCAATTTCTTTTCATTTTTTGAAAGATGAATGGAAATTGCATGATATATGTGAAAAACAAAACATTTCATCATTTTTTTTTAATTTGTCCATTTCTTTGTTTATTGTGGAGTTTTTGTATGTATTTATGTATAAAAACACAAAAAATGGCCCATATCTTGCAAGTGCGCCTGTTTCACTACAATTAAGGCAATGTAACAAAAGTTCATTCTAATTTTCCTTAAAAGAATACATACAAATATATTTCCAAGAATTAAAATTTTTTATCAATCCATTTTCGTAATTTCCAACTAGATTTGTCCTCGTTAATTTATTTCAAAAGTCACTTTTTGTGGTTATAGAAAATATGTGCAGGATATTTTGAACAATAAATGTGTTTCTTATTTTAAATGAAAAACATTTTTTTTTTTTGCTTCCCCTCTCCCTTCCAAAAAAATATGTCTAGAGACTTGCCAAGAGCAAATACAATAAGTGCAAACTAATAGCATAAAATTGAAATACGAAGTCTAACTTAAGGTTTGTAAAATTATATATGTATATACTGCCTTCTGTATTTCCAGGATATCTTTTGCCAAGAATTCAGCTCGATGGGGATCATCCATTTCTACAACAAAAGGCCTTCCTGCAACAGGAAAGGAGTTTTTTGTTAAATGGACAAAATGAAATCACTATATTGAATTGATAATTTTACATAGATGCAACTCAATTACACTAGCAATATAATTTTTAGAAACATGTTTTCTTTTTATGAAAATTGTGTCAAGCTGCATAATGAAAAGAAATAGGGAAACCCACCTTCCATTTATAAGGGGCATTAACCTTGATTTATAAATGATGCATAACTGTCTTGATAATTTATAAATTCTCCATAATTGTCTTGAAGAAAACAATAGAAATGTTCACTTATATAAATATCTTTAAAGTTAAATATATTTGAAGTATAAATATTATACCTTATACAAAATTTAACCTACACTTTACCTTTTCCTAACATTCTTACATCCACGTCTTCTCGTCCTGACGAAGAAAAGCGCTGCTCTGAAAAAATATCAAAATCAAAGTACCATTATAACAAGTACATTCAGCTCAGTAGAATAAAATCCACATTTATTTTGTGATAGAGAAATACACCGTAAACGTATTACGTTTGGCGGTGTATTCTTTTTAGCGCTTTTGGCGGAAAGATACTTCCGCTAATTCAAGTTCATCGCTAAATGTCTTAAACATTGATACATGAATAAGAACATCAAGAAATGCGCTAAATCAAATCTCACTAACTTGTTTAAAAATAATTTTCCGCTAGATATCGTACACACCAAATATAATACATTTACAGCATCAAATCCTGATGTTAGTTTAAGACCATGCCTTTTAAAAAAAAATTGTGTGCATCAATATACAAATATTAACATTTCCAACTTCTTTCCTTTTTGATAGCTCTTTAAAAGTATAGCATGTTACAATGTAATTTCTCGATATTTACAACTGTATTGAATGTTAATTTCACCAAGTAAATGGGAAAACGCCTAATTAATAATGCACTTCCAGCTCTCATTATATCCAACATAACTATGCAGACTATGGAAATACATGTAGAATACTTTATATATTTTTTATTATCTAACATTTTAAAAAAATATTCTATTATCTATTCAACATTTTTAGAAAATATATTTACATTTTCACTTAAGGGAATCACTGTGTAGTTTGTTGTGTGTACATTAATTATGTGTAACTAAAAGTTGGAAACTTTTCATAGGTTTGTTTGTATATGTTTCCAATAAGACCCTAATAGGCCAATGATTTGACAAAGCTTGGTCACTTTACAATGTGAGACTTAACACTTGAAAACAAGACTATAGGTACCAGAGATAGGTGTTTTCTATATTCCAAAATAAAATTTATTGACCCCTGATGGACATACACTGATCCAAAATTCCACCAGAAATGAATTTTATTAGTTCTTTGCAACCAAGAAAGAAAAAATGTACATGTATATATATATTAAACTTAGAAGGGTACATAATCTAAGAGTGACTCAAGAAATTTAAATTCCCAGTACAGGTAGACCAGGAAGTATAAACACCTGACAACAGGTAAATAACACAGGTGTATAGATCATGTGATCTTTTATACGTAGAAAGGATCAGTAGTTTTATTGACTGAGGACGCCATTACTGTCTAAAACCAGGTATATGTATTAATTATGGATTTAACAACAGATAAACTGATGCATAGTATATTAGGAATACATATTTTCAATGACATATCTTAAAAAATACTTCAAATCAGAAGAATTTCTCAAGAAAAGAGGGGATATGTTTTTTTTACTTTGTACTTTCTTTTTAAATTAAGTGTATTTTTTTTTTAAAAAGTATGAAAACATCAGTCTAATTTATACAGATTTATTACTTACTCACTCACAGAAGCTCAAGTCTCTTTTAAAGAAGTAATTCCACGACCTAGTCACTTTTTCTTTTCTTTTGTTATTAATGAAGAAATTTTATACAATAAACACCCTAATCACAAGTTACAGGTACTATAGTCTGTTCCTCATGAGACAAACAAATATCAGTTAACATTTTCAAACTGCTATTTTAGCCTGATTGTATATGATTATACTGTATACAGCTTGAAACAAACAAGTATGACATTATTTTTCAAATACTTTGGAAATGAACAGTGTAAATTACCAGTACTGATTACCAGTAAATGATTCTAAACATGTACTAAGTCTTGGTCATTAGCTGGTTATTGACTGCAAGTACATTAAATTTGTGTAAACTTAGCATTAATAATATACTTGCTGAAAGCAAAAAAAAAGATCTATTGTCAGAATGAATCTATTTTGAAATTGAAAGTATTTACGTTTTATTTTAGACTTATACTTAAGGTATGTCACTCGTGAAATTTGTTAAATCAAGGATTTTTTGAGAAGTATATTTATGATAAGTACTCATATAGTGTAACTCAAAATCAAAGAGAAAATAGAGGGTCAGTGTGCATCTTACTGATCTATGGTACAATTAAGTTGACCTTTTTGCGCTTAAATTTTAACTCTTTGGTTAATTACTTTAACCTTTATTATATTTTATCAGATGTAACCATGGCAAAAAATATAATTTTACTTTACGGAAAATGGTTTGAATAATTTTTATCATTGAAAAAATATTGCAAATTAATGCAGTAAATTTTTGTGTGACCTTTTTGCACTAAAAAGTAACATATTCGGAGATAATAAAATCTACATAAGCAATAAAACACTTTCTGATGACTTAAAAACTGTTGGACAGACAATATATATTCATTTCATCAACTAATTGCTGGATTAGCTAGCAGTACTAAGGCTGCCATTTTTTTTCAACTACCAGGCTGGTACTTTAATCAATTACATGTACTGTATACTGTTAACCTTATATTTCAGAGTCACAAGTTTAAATATGGACCCCCGTACCAGTGCCCAGGACGTGATGCGATGTGACCTGTGTGAAACCGCTGTGGTACAGATGCACTGTGATACATGTCTTGTCAACCTGTGTAAGGCCTGTGTGGGAGAACACTTCTCTGCTGATCTCTCAAAACCTCACGCTATTGTTGATTTCAATGACAGAAAATCCACTCCTTTATACCCTGGGTGTAAATTTCATAACAAACAACAATGTACAATGTACTGTAATCAATGTGGCATTTCTGTGTGTACAAAGTGTTTAGCATCTGATCAACATCTGGGTCATAAGTTATCAGAAATCTTACAAGTTGTGGATGAGAAAAAAGAAAAGATTCTCAAAGAACAAACTGAGCTAAATGAAATAATTTATCCCACCTATCAGGACATTGCCTCTGATGTACAAAACAGAATGAGTCAGTTAGAAAAGGAATATGGAGATCTCTCAACAGCCATAACAAAACATGGAGAGGACTGGCACAGAGAAATTGACAAACTTGTCCAGAAACTTAAAGCTGAAGTTGATGAGATGAAAAACACACAGTTACAAACTCTACAGAAACATCTGGATGAAATAAACAAGACAATGTCTGACATCAAGGATGAAATTCATTCAATTGATCTTACTGAGGATTCTAATAACATTTCAAAACTGTTTAGTATTACAATCAATGTAGAGAGATATAGAAATCTTCCACAGAAAATTCTGCCATCTTTACCTAAATTTGTTCCAGGCAGAATTAATGAAGAACTTGGTAAAATATTTGGAACTTTGTCGCCAAGTACTCTTACTTTAGATAAACATGGTTACAGCATGAAGACAATACAGAAATCACCAGAAGCTGGATCCTCTCCTCCAGTCAAACAGCTGCTTGATGAACCAGAGACTGTCACCACCATAGACATTGGGTATGTCTACCTTTACAATGTAACCTGTCTGAGTGATGAAGAAATCTGGACAAGTGGAGATGGCAAAACCATGAAACTCTACAGCATCAATCAGGGATCACTACTCAAGTCAATCACAACCAAGTCAGGGAATTCACCATATGACATAGCAGTGACAAAAATTGGAGATCTAGTTTATATTGATAACAGTGATAGAACTTTGAACATTGTGAAGAATGCGAAGATAGAGGAGGTGATCAGACTACAGAACTGGAAACCTCAAGGTGTCTGTAGTACCTCCTCTGGTGACCTCCTGGTTATCATGTATAGCAATGATAACATACAAACAAAAGTTGTCCGTTACTCTGGCTCCACAGAGAAACAAACCATTCAGTTTGATGATCAAGGTAAACCTCTCTATTCATCTGGAGGTAATTTCAAATACATAACAGAAAACAAGAACCTGGATATCTGTGTGTCTGACAATATAGCTAGAGCAATAGTGGTGGTCAATCAGGCCGGGAAACTGAGATTCAGGTACACTGGACATACTCCTGCTCAAAAGAACAAACCATTCAGTCCACGAGGAATCACCACAGACAGTCAGAGTCACATCCTTACAGCTGATGATTACAATGACTGTGTCCACATCATAGACCAGGAAGGACAGTTCCTTCGTTACATAGACTGTGGACTGAGTGTACCCCGGGGACTGTGTACAGATACAAATGACAATCTGTTTGTTGCTCAATTCAGGAAACAAGAAGTGAAGAAAATCAAATATCTCCAGTGAAACCCTACTCCTACTAAATACAAGTAAAATACTAGTAGGTGCATTTAAAATTCTCCCGTCGCCTCATTATACTCTATTATTATTGTAATATGTACAACAATACTTGTTTTATAATACCATCTATGTTTAATCTAAGTTTTATTAAATAAACATATATGTCGTAAGAATTTATTAATCTTCGCATTTTACTTATGTTGAGGAGGCTGACTGGCGTTTTATTGTATGAAAACTACAAAAGAGAAACTCTTTAATTTTATAACGTATGCAATTTACATTGTACATGCCAAGTTTAGGAAAAATCTACCGTCAGGGTATTTTTAGAGAATTTCTCAGTAGTATTGCGAAATGAAAATCTTCTGCATGTCAGAAACAATTTTTATGGGTTTAACATTTAATATGTTTTACGGTGTGACCGTTGGGGCGAGTGCAGCTATGTACTATAAAAAAAATCTACCTACCAACACACCCACCCACCCAACCACACACACACACACACGCACACGCACACGCCCGCCCGCCCGCCCGCACGCACGCACGCACACACACACACACACACACACACACACATATACACTGGACAAAATTGCTAACGCACCACCAAATGAAAGTAAAATTTTACTTTTCAAAACTTGTTTAAGTTGTATTTGATATATTATTATGCTACAAAATCAAATATAAAGCATTTGAATGTCTTAATTGATAAATAACTACAATGTTCACTGATGTGTGACCATTTAATAAAAAACGTGAAAATCGTGTCTACACTAATTTGGAGGGATAAATTTCTAATTTTTTCTTGGCATTTTTGTTCTTTATGTTTGTACTAATTAGAAAATCAGAAATAAAATTATACCGTATGCGGCATTTGATCCCAGAAGAGCGTGATAAAACAGACAATATGGTGCCTGAAGGGGGGTTCCTTTCGAAAGATATGTGAAAAATTTAAACAATGAAAACAATATCTATTCTTCTGGTGAGAAATTGTTGAAAATAGATTAGAAGACATAAAAATGTTCACTCTAGATAGCCAAGCCATTAAGTAAACACCACACAACAATTTCAATGTCGTTCCACAAAATTGGTGTAACCGGAAGTTGAGTGGACTGGGCGTGGAAGCCTAGGCATTGGATGACTAGCAGGCGATTTAATAGTCAAATGCTGCATATTATTCGAATTTTTTAAAGTGGGAGACTGTTTCTCTTGTAACCTCAAGTACCATCATCTGTAATTATATAGCAATACACATATCTGGGCAAAAAAGAGGCACGCAATGCATGTCGGGAATTGGTTTTGGGCAAGAAGATCATTTTAAGGTTTTGTTCTGACACCAAGACAATTCCCAATCTCATTGTATTGGAAAATATGACGTGTTATATATACTCATACCGATTAGGAAAATGTTCAAATCACAAAGAAGAATTTAAAGTGGTGCTTTAGCAATTTTGTCTAGTGTATATATATATATAATGCCTATCATTCAAGAAAAAGAAAGAAAAAAGAAGGAAACAAAATAATAACAAGCTAATTCAGAGAATTCGTGTCCCCCGCTTAGGGAAAAAGTCGGCTCCTCCTGACTGAATTTGTAGAATTATTAAATGTATACATGTATACTGAAGGAAATAAAATACATGTATGTCAATATGCATATAAAGATTTGATTGCTTATTCTTTATTATGTGTACAGAAGATTTTTTTATATGGAATATTTATCACACTGTAATGATGATTTTATAACCTCATAAATTTTTCATTTCACATGCTGAATACTATCATTTAGTAAAAAAAAAAAGTATTTAAAAAAAAAAAGAAAGGTTCGACCGAGATTCGATCCCGGGACCTCTCACATTTGAAGCGAGAGACATAACCACTAGACCACGGAATCGCTTTACGCGGAGTGAAGTATATGCAGAACTGAAGTCACATACATGTATATATTCATGTTTTCATGTTCGGTATTCTCAAAATTTTACACAATCCATGGTGTTTGATTTATTTAGCCTTTATTAAACAGTTATAATAGATGTAATAAGAACATAAAGTCCGCCGAGAACCTGTTTTATACGCAATAACTCTCCTCGTGCCCCTGCGCTAAAAATAGCGACATGTAATACTATAAATACTAATAATACAAACGGGGCGGGGCACTTTGATAGGGGCGAGAGACGTCCTAGGGAGTTTTGGTATAAAATTACATTGCATAAGCTCAAAATCTTCTTGAAATATCGCCCGGAAATGATAATGTTACACACAGACAGAATGTATAAATTTACGACCTTGAACTTTGACCTTTTGACCTCAAAATCAATAGGGGTCTTCTTTAGGCCACAGGGAGTTGTTATGTAAAATTTCATTGCAATAGCTCAAATGGTTCTAGAGATATCGTGTGGAAACGAAAGTGTTTTAACAGACAGAATTTGCTTATTTATGACCTTGACCTTTTGACCTCAAAATCAATAGGGGTCTTCTTTAGTCCATAGGAAGTTGCTGTGCTAAATTTCATTGCAAAAGCTCAAAGGGTTCTCGAGATATCGTGTGGAAACGAAAGCGTTACAGACAGACAGAAAGACGGACGGACGGACGGACAGACGGACGGACGGACGGACGGACACACAAACCCAAATTAATATCCCCCACTTTTCAAGCGGGGGACAAAAAGAAATCACTTCCTAAAAATCGGGATCGAGATTCCGAACTTCTTCGAAGTTTCCGACAAAATCGGAAATACCTGAACCGTTAAAGTGACGAAAGTATGACGTCAGATAAAAAGTCTTGTTGACTTAGGACACAGACGTAGTTTATGGCATGGAGATTGTATTAAATCGTTGTTTGTAATTTTTTTCAAGTAAGTTGTTGCTATGTTTTAGCTACCCTGTTGCTATGCACCGCAAAGGATTAATGGGAGTTTGGAATTTTTTCACGTGGACTCATAAAAATTTCTTGGAACAATGTGCACGGTGTAGTACCTAAACGGCTGCTATCGGAACAAAATCGCGTTCATTGTTGCTATTCGAAAATTGTACGGCTGCTAGCAGAAATAAATATGTTGAAAACTCTTGGAACAAGTTGTAAAACTGTAAAATCATGACCCCAAATCAAGATAGTCTCTGAAAAGTCCGGGTGCATGGAACAAGTAAGGTATTTGTATAGATGTTGTCATGTGTAATTTGCAGAATAGCCCTCTAATAATTTAGAATTAGTAAAATTTCCGAAGCCTGTACCAAATCTTAAGTCAATAAATACCCAGTTTTCATGCTTTTTAAATAATCTATTATTCAGATTGTGGGTATTTCGGTTCTTGAAGATGCGTCAATCTATAATAATACTTAGAAATAAATTTAAAAAATTGAAAAGTGTATTTTAAAAGAGATTTTTAGATGAAACACGATTTTTTGAAGTTACGGTTTTTATCAGAGTCTTAGCATATGTTGCACCGGTTAATAACTGAAAACATCGCATCGGCTGCTATTTGAAAATTTTCCTTATATTAACAGAGATATGAAACAAACTTATGGCAGCAAATTTCTAAAATATACATCTTAAATATCCCAAAGTGCATGTGAAATAAGATGTCTATATATGCAGTTGACTTTTACCAACTTAACTCATGGGTGTAACTTCGATTTTGAAAAGGGGGGCAGAAAAATTCAAATCTATATTTAAAAAAATCTGACATGTAAAAAAAAAAGGGAAATTTTCAAACTTCTTTCAGAGCCATTTTTTTCATGTGCTACCGCCTACCCTTCTTTGACTATACTGCAATAAAAAGGGGGGCTTCAATGAAAAAATTTCAATATATTAAAAGTTACGCTTGGAAGAAAGTAAACAGGTCTTTAGGTCTTTCAATGAACATTTTACAAAGTAAAGGTTATGCTTGGAACAAAATGTGGAGGGGGGAGGGGGGGCACGCGTCTGTAACTCAAATGTTTCGTTTTTTGCAAAGTAGAGCTGATCTTTGAAAAGCATTGCTACACAATTCAAAAAGAAAGCTTTATGAAAGGACACGTAAATCAATTTGAAATAGCATATAATATATATATATATATATATATATATATTCTTTTAAACAATCATTTCTTTATCTTTCTCAAGTTAGAGTCTTTGGGGCTTTTTGTAGCCAACATGTACACTTAAACATGTATAATATCTAGAAAAGTCAAAGTATAAGCTTAAATTGTCAAATATTTCTAATTCCATATTTCTTTTTCGAAGAACGGTGATGCATTGGTTCGTTGTACGACTAACATGCAATAATTAAAACATCGACCCTCTTTCCCCCCTCGCCCCATTAGGCTTTTAGGAGTTCTTTAAATTATATAGGTAAGAAAAGACAAGCCCCCCCCCCCGCAACGGAAGAAAGCGTGGTTTTTATATTGATGTTTTCCACTTCTTTTTACTGTCAAAGGACCTGGGTGAACATGACGTGAGATAAGCCCACAGCGCAACAAACATGAAGGTGAAAAATTTAATCTCAATTACATGTATATCAAAATTTTCCTTAATATTTCATCTTACATTAAAGTATACTTTATGTAAAATCTCTACAACTTGCATAAATTTCATGAAGGTTGAAGTTATTTGCTTATGAAATACTGTACACACACGAAAGAGGCTAAAACGAGTCATTTTTTCACTCTATAACACTATTTTTCGATATAAGTGGGTCTTCTCTCCATTTTTTTGAGAGTTAATCCTCAAAGTTTGCATACAAACATACATATGTTGGTTTCCAAAATTATGGAGCAAAGACCCACTATACCTTAAAAATACAATGTTATGACATAACTTTCGTATCTTTTCAAGAAATACTTGAAATCCCTTAAGTCAATGGTCATACCACAAACATGATTTAAATGCTACACTTCATCAGGACTTCTGTAGCGTAGTGGTTATGTGCTAGTCTCAATAGAGAATGCAACTCAGGATTTTTATTGCCAGGGTTCGAACCCAATGGATACCACATTATTTTTTGTTAATAAAAGAATAAATTTTAATAAAAAATTTTTCTCAAAACATTTTGTTTATCATGATTTCATAAAAAAACAATGATAAGAAC